AATCACAAAATTGCATGGGTTAAATTTTTGTGTTCCCTCCTGTTAATTTTGTGTTCCCAGTACGTTCCCTCCTGTTCATTAGAGACACTTTGGATGCAACGATTGAAAATTTGCTTTTGCTGAAGCCCCCAATAAATAGAAAAACAGTTGATGGGCAAAAAGAGACATTAAGATCATCGATAAAAGTTTTATTGAAAGAGGACAAAGTGTTACAAAAAGATTGTAAGCAGTTAAATGCTTGGTTTATTGATATCGAGAAAAAGGAAAAAAACAGAAAGGAACTGAAAATTATAGACAGAAAAGACTGTGCTATTTTTAAAAAAGCAAGATTTTTTTCTAGTGTTGTGCAACATGCCATCGGTGGCTTAACGGACAATGAGTTTAAAAAAGAATTACAAGAAAGTAGAAATATTCGGGATGGGCATGAAATAGAACAAGAAGATCTGAATATAGAACAACAGAAAGAAGATCTGGAAGTAGGTGAAGAAGAAGAGAAAAGGTATCAACCATCATCTCCACAAGTCCCGCAAAGATTCTCATTCTCAGCGTCCAAACAAGGTTCATATGTTGAACCAATATTGCAATATGTTGAGAAATCCCTCTTTGGATTTATTATAAAGCATCAACAATACATTCCTTCTAAAACTGTAAAAGAGTTTGTGACAAAATGTACACCTCCACGGCAGATGGACTTCTCAGACGCTGACCTATTGTGCCTTTTAAATTTCATCATACAAAATATTTCCTTATTCACAATTGGACAATCAGATCAAACATTATTTCACGGGCAATACAAACTTAACCCATCTGATCTCCTCAAGTCCTTCAAAACTGAAGCAAGAAATCACAATGCTCATGGAATCACGCAGCTGGAAGGCAGATGGAATGACGAAAAACTCCAAAGACTGTCAACTCTGGCACTTGAAGTAGTTGGATGTCTTGGTAAGTCTTGCAATGTCAACATTAAATATTTATTTAGAGCAATTCTTTTTTTTTTTTTTTTTCATCTGTTTTATTTAATAGGGGATAAAGAAACATTCGAGTCATTGGTAGAAATAAAACTGAAATTGGATTCCGAACTCACAGAACATATTATTTCAACAATGAAACGGAAATGTGAAGAAAATGGGAATGAACACCATGAGAAAAGGAGAAATACAATGGACATAGAGCTTGGAGAATTGTCGGACTTTGCACTAGACATAATCAATAAATTGGATTCATCAGATAAACAAGAGCTAAAGCAAATTGTACGATTGGCTGTGGATAAAAATGAGGCGTTTATGAATATCTGGAGGAGCTTAGTGACCCAAAATAATGAAAGTAAAAAGATTGAGAAGTTCATAACACTAATGAATTTCCGGTTTGACATGGTGGGTACTTCACATGTTATTTCTTGAATAATTTGGTTATGATATATGACTGATTTCATAATACTGTTTTTAATAGAATCTAGAAATTAAAAAAGGTTGAGATGTGTATCATGATTTATGGAATATTAAATCTTTCATTTTTACAACAAAAAAAAAGATTTTAGTGTGAAAGACTTTTCAATGATACTGTACTATGATATAAAAATTTTAATAAAATTTAGCAATGTCAATATATATATATGCTTCTATTAATTGTAATGATCAACTTTAACTGCTATATAACAAGTCAGAAATCATAAATTTTACACTGAACATATTATAACATTATGATGAATCATATATACCCTAATTATCAAAGTATATAAATGAGTGAAATTCTATATTGTAGAATAATTACAAACAATATATTTGAATTATGTCAGAATTATACATGAAGTCGAAATTAAAACCCCAAAGTCAAAATGTTTCGACTTGAGGCAACTACATAGTAAAAATCAGTTTCAACCCTATTTCAACCAGATCTGCAAATGGTTGAAATAGTTTCAACTTCATGTATAATTGGGAACATTTATGTCCTCAACTGTCTTCATAAGCTGTGACATCTCAATCCAACATGATTTTGCATTGAGGACAATAGGTGGTAAACCTGTCTCAACTCCCATTGCTTTTGTCTTTTAAACTCCTTACCCTTCATGGTCAGTCAAATTCTAACCTTGATTAAGGTTTCTTTTTTTTTGTTTCTTTCTCAAACAGTAGTTTTTTCATCTAATTCTTTTTGAATTAAGTGTTGGGAACAATCTCAACAACAGAATTCAACATGTTCTCTATCTTCTTCATCTCTTCAATTATTGTTAATACTTCTTTAGTTTGGTTACAGTTAAAACATTCTTTTTTAGTCATGATTTTTATTTATTTTTAAACTATGTTTATAAAATGGTTTTACAAAAAAAAAAAAAAAAAAATTCAAACATTTGTTTATTTTTTTTTAGTACATTTCAATTAGATTTTATTAATCTCAGAAGACTACATTATGTGTTAATTCTAAGATAAAAAAATCTGTTTTAATGTTTTAGTATAATCAACAATTGTCTTCAATTGTTTTTTTAGAAATAACAATAATTATCTTTTATATATTTATTTTTTTATCTGTTTCAGTTGATCAATAAATCTCAGGTCTCAAGATAATTTATCTTATCCATTTTTAGTAATAATAATTTAAATCTAACATAATTATTTTTCATGGAACCAGTTGAGGATTTTTATTTTCTCTTATATCAACTATCAAATAAATATTTCTGATAATTATTTGCAGATCCACCCAAATTTAATTCTTTTCTGCTCACATCACAAGACTAATTTCAATTTTAAAATAAATGAAAACCTACAAAGTGAACATGAAATTATAAAATTATATATACGGTTATAGGTATATGAAAAATAGTAGATATAATGGGTCTATTGAATATCAAAAAGCAATTGATTTTTTAAGAAAAGGATGTGATTGTGGTTGTTCTTCAAGAATTCCCAAGGAACAATTTGCAGAATTAAGGGAATCATTTCAAGCTCTTTCCAAATCAGAACAAGGCATATTTTTAATGGCTCAACTTAAGGCAATGGATGGTGGGACAATAAGTAGTAGTAAACGCCTTAAAAAGAAAACCAGGTCTAACAAAAGAACTTTCTATCACTGGGATCACAATACATCCCTTTGTCAAGAAACTTATCTTAATATGTTGGGAATTGGTAGAACTTACTTTGAAAATATTAGAAGCCATCTGATAAACAATGGTCTTCTAGCAAGAGTTCATGGCAATATTAAAAGAATGCCTCAATGGAAAACTAAAATGGTGATTGACAAAAATGTTGCTGAGGTAGTAAAGAATTTTCTGGAAAATTATGCAGAAGTTCATGGATTGCCAAGTCCAGGAAGAAGTATCAATAGAATAATCCAATCAATTGTATTCTTACCAGCTGAAATGAGTTACAAATCAGTGTATAGAGATTTTCTAGCTGGTCTGGAGGAAGATAGTAATTTGAAATCCTTAAAATATGATGCCTTCAGGAAGTTATGACATCAATTAACACCAGAAATTCAAATTATGAGTCCCAGGGCTGACTTATGTGATACTTTTCAACATTTTAGAGATGGTTTACATTACAATGCTCGCCAAGAAGAAGAAGCCAAAGAATTATTTAAAAGATTTAAAGAACATCTGTCTAAGGCCAAATTAGAGAGAAATTATTATAATAAAAATACCAAATTGGCAGAAGAACAAAGTCAACTTTAACTGCTATATAACAAGTCAGAAATCATAAATTTTACACTGAACATATTATAACATTATGATGAATCATATATACCCTAATTATCAAAGTATATAAATGAGTGAAATTCTATATTGTAGAATAATTACAAACAATATATTTGAATTATGTCAGAATTATACATGAAGTCGAAATTAAAACCCCAAAGTCAAAATGTTTCGACTTGAGGCAACTACATAGTAAAAATCAGTTTCAACCCTATTTCAACCAGATCTGCAAATGGTTGAAATAGTTTCAACTTCATGTATAATTGGGAACATTTATGTCCTCAACTGTCTTCATAAGCTGTGACATCTCAATCCAACATGATTTTGCATTGAGGACAATAGGTGGTAAACCTGTCTCAACTCCCATTGCTTTTGTCTTTTAAACTCCTTACCCTTCATGGTCAGTCAAATTCTAACCTTGATTAAGGTTTCTTTTTTTTTGTTTCTTTCTCAAACAGTAGTTTTTTCATCTAATTCTTTTTGAATTAAGTGTTGGGAACAATCTCAACAACAGAATTCAACATGTTCTCTATCTTCTTCATCTCTTCAATTATTGTTAATACTTCTTTAGTTTGGTTACAGTTAAAACATTCTTTTTTAGTCATGATTTTTATTTATTTTTAAACTATGTTTATAAAATGGTTTTACAAAAAAAAAAAAAAAAAAAAAAATTCAAACATTTGTTTATTTTTTTTTAGTACATTTCAATTAGATTTTATTAGATCAAATGATACATTCAGCAAAAATCTCAGAAGACTACATTGTGCATTAATTCTAAGATAAATCAACTCTCCTTAATTTTGATACTGCTCCTTCTACTCATCAAATGATGGCTTGTAATACTCCTGATGGTTATTTTGACATTATCTTTATCTGTGGTGAATGTAAAAACAATTATGATAACTCTTCCATGATGTGAGAAATGTGGTAGGTTAAAAAGGAATAGAAACAGATGTTTTTGTAGTCATTTAAAAACTAAATCAACTAAAACACTTTCTGACATGAACTACTTTCACAAGCTTTCAGTTTCGCCTAGAAAATAAAGCTATAGAACTAGAAAAAGAGTAATCAATTACCAAAGAAGAATTAAAAATTGAAAGAGAAGTAGTAGCCAAGTTTCAGGAAAAAACTGAAGAGTGAAGTAAAAAGCAAAAACAGGAATTATTAGATAAG